TTGTGCGTGTCGATCGTCTGCTCGATCCATTTCAACGAGGCCGGGTCGGTGCCCAGTTCGGGAAGTTGGGCCTTCGAGGACAACTCGGTCTCGGCGATGTGGATCACCTCGTGGCCAGCGGTTATGGTCGACAATAAGGCACGTTGTGGTTCGGACAGGACGGATGTGACCTTTGTTTGTTGCACCTGGTTTCAGCGATTCACAAATTGCTTTACGACGACGGTTAACGGATGCATGATCATCGAAAAAAAGAGTAAGAATCGAAGACGTTCCATTTTTGTTCATCTTTTTAGAAAATTTTGAATAAATTTATTATCCGTTCTTATTTCGTAAATTTTTACAACAGAGTTTTGTATTTATTTTGAAGTATTATAATAATATAAAAATTAATGAAACATGAATTATAAAGATATTTGCGTGGAAAGAGATATGATAAGTGAATAATGTAACAATTTATAATGATTTGCAAAAATTGAACGACTTCAAGTTTATATATTTTTAATAAAAACTAGTTGCTGTTATTAAATAATCGATCTTCAATGACGGATATGCAAATTAAAAATGTATGTATTGAAACGAATATGTTGAATAGAAAAGAAAATTCTTATGATATTTTCCAATATACTGATTAAATTTCAAATAAGAAGATCAATATTATTTTTACATTTCAAAGAGATTTTACATTTTAGTCACGAAAATAAAATTAAATGAAACCAAAAATTGGAAGGATTTATAACAAAAATTACTTTAAACAGCCAATGATATAAATAACTAAAAAGTTTAATCATCGTGTACCTACTCTGTGTCCGCAATAGAAGGCGCCTAGCATGAAAACAAATTTAACCGTCAATTAGTCGTTTTTTTTTTTTTTTTTAAATTATTCCGGTGTGAAACGAAAATCGTATTATTTATTAATGAACTCTTGAACTTAAATGTAATATCGCTGCGATTCGTATAAAAAGTCGAACTACTTAGCTAACGCTATAACAAAGCGGTCTCAAATGACTCTTGCTGAAGTGAATTATCAGTGTTATTTGAGGGAGGAAGAGGAAAAAATTCATTTACAATTTTTCAAGAATGCGAAAACGTGTATAGTAATAGTTCGATTGCCGTAATTCTGTATCACCATCAAACTCGAAACGTGTCCAATTCCACGAACCAAGACTGAAATTCAACATTAATCTCCAAATAATCGTCCCCAATCCATTAATTCCTATATTCCGTATACACGTATATCTGAATACTTAATCTGCCACTAATCAAATGAAATTTCCTCAATCATACACTGACATCAATCAACTCTATCAAACGAATCCAAATAGCATAACCAATATATCTGCAATTTTAGTAATCCGTATCGGTCCCATTAATGTGTCTCTGAATCAATTTAGTGTGACTGAAGGGAAAGGCCACGAATGTTTTCGATGAAAGTGAGGCAAATCCGGAACACTGATAAATCAACACCAAGCAAGAGCCTGTTCTGCCTCTGATAGATCTTACCATCGGTGGAGCGTGAGCGATGTTCACCTGGCCGCTGACAGTCGTGTATTGAGCACTGCCCATGTGCCCAGTCCCATACGGTCGAGCCCCTATAAACCGTATCATGCAACTATCCGAGTGATATTTACAAGGATCGATCCTCGGGATCGATTGATCGCTTGACAAGAAGCTGGATTAAGGCGCACACAGATCGGCTGTCTTGCGAAGCGAGAGCGGATAAGCGCCAAGTGTGTCTCGTTTATTACATACCAAATCAAAAATAAAAAAAGAAACGTATATGTGTAAACTATAGTATTTGATTTCGTTGCATAATAAATGTTCAGTTTCAGAAAATTCGTTTTAAATTCGTTTGAAAGTTACGTACGTTTTCTAATTCTCGTTTTAGTCATTCATTATTATATTTTGTTACATCATTGGTAGTAATATATATTGATTACTATAGAGGAAAAAGTTATTTATAGATTTGTGGAACTTTTTTTTTGATAAATTATTAATTTTAAGTAATTATATCGCATGCACGTTTGTAACGTGCTTGCATCCACCTCCATCGATCGTTAGTACCTGTCACAACCGTTAGGTAATCGTGATCATGACCAAACTCGTTGCAATAGAAGCTATCGCGATCGGTTTATGCGCCATAGTATCGATTGGCGCCACTAGGTGGCCGTAACTTCTCGTTATATACTATGCATACTATTAGGTATAAGTATCAAATCAAATTACTAACAATGGAGGATTCGATCACTCTTGCATTTTTAATATTTTGAATTCCCGATAAACTTTCATTATTTAGAGTCAAGTTGTTCTTGTCTAGCCATTTATATGAATCACAGGAATGAGAGTCTATTTATAATAATAATAAGAGTGTAATATAATAGTTTAGAATAAACTCGTAGTAATAAATATATATAGTATATATAACATAAGTTAATTTTAATGAATAAAGAATTTAATATATAAAAGATTAAACAGAAAACGTTTTCTATTAATAATATGATAAAACATTTTATTTTATTACTTTGTATTTTCATTTTTTATCGTAAAATATTGAGTTTTAAAATTATAAAAATAAAAAAAGAAAAAATCTTATTCCTAATTATGTAACAACTCAGTAAAAAAAAAAAAAAAAAAAATATTTAAAATATTAAAAAATTATTTTCTTTT